AAATTTTGATTATGGGGAGTGAAAAGGTGGGGGGGAGTTGCACGATATCATATGTCTGTGTCTGTACTGTGTCATGCTGTGCTGTGCTCTACTCTACCCTCAAGTGTTACCGGTATCGTGCTTGCATCATCCCCAGACCCATGCCGTACCCGTGCCGTAATGTCGTACCACGTTACAAACACAAAACCATACGAAAACAAAGTTCGCATATACATGTACATGTGCATATGCATATCCGTGCACATTAGCACCAGCACCAGTATAAACCCGGCATACATACAACTCACACACCCGAACCCCGTACAACCATCCTTGAAAATACATACAAAGTAGACGACATGTGCGCCATGTGGGCGTGGGGTAATAATCGTGGTCCCAGTTCGCATGCTCGAGTGCATAAAAGCTTCCAAAAGAAAAGAAGAGAAAAAGAAATAAACAGAGGGCTGAGTTTGGCAACTAGCTAGCATGTCGCACAGAAAGAAAACAAAGTGTATGCGCGGACGCGGGGTTGGGAGAGAAAAGTGAGTAGCTCGGGGGCTATTTGTGCAATAGACTGGGCGGTGAGTGGTACGGTACGGGTACCGTCACGGTTACAAGCACGAGCACGAATTCGGCTCTCTGTTGTGGTATTGTATGTCCCCTCGCGCCATCACATCTACATGCCACCACATTACACACGGCGCCGCATTACCGTCGGCAGGGTGCGTTGGCGGTACCGTCGCGGTCGCCATCTTTCCCGACAGAGAGAATCTCGTACCTTTCATTACTCCTGATGATGCCCCTGTGCACGACTCCAGCCCTGCCCATAAACGCTCGCAAACGCTGTACACGGCTCCTTCGCCCACCCTCCCAGCGTGTCAGCAAGCCCAGCCGGCTCGAGCAAGAAGAAGAAGAGGGAGTTCGGACACTCCCGACCTCGAGATCCTTCTAAAACCTCTCCCGGGGCCCGGATCCGTGGTTTTCAAACAAATCCTCCAGATAGGCGCTCGGTGCGCGGCCGCCCGTTGCACTGCCCCCGGGCACATTGAGTGACAGATTGCTCATGTCGCCTGTGTCCGAATGGCCGTATACTGGACTCCGCGCGTGACCATGGCTGCCTAGTGTCGCAACACTATTGCGATTGTACATGGACAGGCCCTCTCTCGATGGCGGGGCGCGCGGGTATCCGCCACGCGAGGGTGGGAGAGAGGGCGACTCGGGTGGTGAGATGCCTGAGCGTGCTGAGAAGCGGTTTCCTGGTGTCGAGAGATTGTTCGAAGAGCCACCGCCGACATGGGTCATGGGGGAGCCGGCCGCAGGTTGCGCGGTGCCAGAGGCGTAGTAGCCTGCGGGGAGGTACGTGGAGGAACGGTTTCCAACGATCGAGTCGCGGATGCCGGCTGCACCTCCCGCAGCGCCTGCTGTGGGTGAGAAGAACAGGTTCGAGGTTGAGCGCGCGTTGGGTGAGCCGCCGGGCTGCTGGGCAAATGGCTTGGTCGACTTTGTGGTGCCGATGGGAGCCGCGGAAAGATGGTCCAGAGACATGGTCGAGTTGGCGCCTACCACATTGTACATGCCACGCTTCTTGCCGGGGGCTGCGCTCATGGCCTTCATGTCGGAGAGGTTCTGGGCCATGGCGGCACGCTTGACGGAGCGGTGCAGCGACCATGCGACCATGCCGCGCCATGCGAGCACGGCGGCTCCAAAGAAGGCGAGAATGGCGCCCACGCAGATGAATACAGTGCCATCGGGAAGGTCGGACTTTTGCATAAACGGTGCGTTGGCCGTATCTGGGATTTTCTGTTATGGGATACCGACACCAGCGAGGGTTGGCAGGCCCAAGAGGCCGCCTGCTCTCGAAGAAGTGACGGTTGGGAAGGCGTTGTTGTCGGACTGGGTGGCAGTCGTGCTGGCTTGTGTGGTTTCGGCATCGGCCGATGATTGTGCTGAAGTGGTTTGCGGCGCACTCGATGCTGGTGCCGAGCTGGCTGCCGTCTCTCCTGGTCCGTCCGGCTGGGAAATGGTTGCGAGGTCAGGTAGGCCATTGTCTTGTGCCACGACAGAAGTGGCGGCGACGAGCAGTAGGCCTGCGAGGCCCACCGAGGCTCGCATCTTGATGTGTGTACGTGGGCGAGAGCCGATTATGGAATGTTGCGGTGCAGTACCGGCGAAAAGGGTATGGTTACAGGTGCAGCAGGTTTAGGAGACCAGACTTGGAAGTGCGGGTGAAAGACTCCACTTGGCGATCTCAGGGTTCGGTGGCCCAAGCAGAATGAGGGAAGAGCGACAGCAAAAGGGAACAGGCAAGGCGAGTGGGTATCGATAGGATGGGCGCACGAAAAGAGCGACGACAGAACGAAAGGTGGAGAAGAAGAAAAGGGCCTTTGTGTACGGCAAAGGGTGCTGTGCGTAACCGTGGTTGCGGAGAGGAGGGAGTCTTGGAGGGAGGGATGGACGATGGACGGGTCAGCGACAGGGGCGGAAAGTCAAGGATGCGCAGAGAAAGCCTTTGAGCTCGTGCCGCTGGTTCGCTTGGAGATTTCGATGTGCCTAGGCTGGGTAGGTAAGCCAAAGCCAAAAGCGAAGGCCAAAGCGATCGGACTAAAGATGACGAATAGGCAATGGAATACTTGCGAAGCAAAAGACCACCATGCAAGTTGGAAGCGATGGAAGTGTGCTGTGTTGTTGTGAAGAATGGAAGGCTGAATAAATATGTAATCTATTCGTTGGTAACTACTTCTACTTCTACTTCTACTTCTCTACGATGGTGATGGTGAGGATGCTGTCAACAGTCAACACAGCGCGCCTTCCCCATCTGTCAGGCGTCAGGCGCGACCCTGCATTTCGAGAGAAGGAAGAACCAGGGGCCAGGACCTGCGTTGGAGGGCAGGCGCGGCTGGCTGCAACTAGCTTAGCGCGTGCCTCGGTGCTTCCTGCCCTTTTTTTTGGCCGCCGCCTGACGCACACCACCGAACTCTTGGCGTTTGTCTCGTTTGCTCCACCAAAAAGTTCTGGGCTATCGATTAGAGAGAGTTACACAGTGAGAACCAAGCACTCACCTTCTTCACTCACCCAGTCCACACAACACACAACAACACACAAACGCAAACATGGGAGTGGCAAAGAGAACCCGCAAGTTTGGCCAGATGAAAAGGCTCATCGGTATGCTTGTATAACCCTCTGCGCAAGTGAAGCGCGCATACTGATCTATTCTACAGGCCAACGCGATGCCAGACTGTACGCGACGATGCGCCCCCCCCCTCCCCCTCCACCCATAACCCCCTGCCATTCCACCACCTAACAATCCTCTAGAAAGAAAAACCAAATGGCCGGCGAAATAGAAGCCGCAAAGAAAAAGCAAGAAGAGTCTGCAAAACGAGAAATGTAACCCTCTCCCTCCCACCCCTCCAACCCAACCCAACCCAACTAACCTAAACCCCCCCTTCCAAAACAGCCCCCAAGCCCCCTCCTCCCTCTTCTTCCAAGCCAACACCGCCCTCGGTCCCCCCTACTCCGTCCTCATCGACACCAACTTCCTCTCGCACACCGTCCACGCCAAACTCGACCTCCAAAAAGCCCTCATGGACCTGCTGTACGCAAAAGCCACGCCCATCATCACATCCTGCGTCATGGCCGAGCTGGAAAAACTGGGGCCCAAGTACCGCATCGCGCTGCGCATTGCGCGCGACGAGCGCTGGACGCGCCTGCGCTGCGATCACAAGGGTACGTATGCGGATGATTGCATCACCGAGCGTGTGCAGAAACATCGCGTCTATTTGGTTGCGACCAATGATAGGGATTTGAAGCGTAGGATTCGAAAAGTGCCCGGTGTGCCGATTGTCAGTGTGGCAAAGGGCAAGTATGTTATTGAGAGGTTGCCGGATGTGCCTGATAGTCGGTGAAGGGGGAAATCGAGGAATAAGAGGGGGGATTAGAGGGTTGGGATTGGGAAGTGCAATTTAGAGAACCATGGGTAGGAAGGGTGGATGTGGCGATTCGGCTTTGTTCTGCATAGCGAGGGCGTTTTTATTCTAGGGAAAATGGGGGAGATGCACACGAGATGAATAGTAGTAAGATGGCATCGCCACATGCACATGTACGTGAGGCCCGGAAATTTCCAATCACAAAACAGTACATTGTCCCGAGACTACCATACAGTAAACACGCGCCCAAACCATTCCAACAGAACCATCAATCAGATCCCCTCCCTCAACACAAGATAACACCACAGACTACGCCCAACGCCGTCACGCTCGACAAGACAAGAAAAGGTCTTTTATGCTCTACAAGTCCAGCGAATCAAAGCCCCCCCAAGCCATCCAAAAGCGCAGTCAAGCCTCCGACTCCCAAGAGTGCTCCCGCAGCTTTACTCGTTCTTTTTCGTTTTCTTCTCTCCCTTTCTCTTTCTCTTTCTCTTTCTCTTTCTCTTTCCCTTTCTCTTTCTCTTTCTCTTTCTCTTTCTCTTTCTCTTTCTCTTTCTCTTTCTTTTTCCCTTTCCCTATCTCGATCTCTATCCCTGTCCCTCTCCCTTTCCCTATCCCAATCCCTATCTCTATCTCGATCCCTATCCCTCTCCTCCCTCTCCTCCCCATACCCACTCCTCCGCCACTCCCTCTCCCGTCTCCTCGCACGATACCTCTCCCAGTCCCCAGAGTCAGACTCCGACGTCGTAGTGTCATCGTAGTAACAGCTGGGGGCATGGGCATGTGCATTTGCAGTACGATGTGGGTGAATCTGGGGTTGTCGCGAAGGTGGTTGGGCAGAGTGATGACCAAGGGAGGTCGGTGTCTGCATATTCATATTCGTATTCATATTCTGATTAAGCGTATTGGGTGGATACGAGTATTGTGGCGGCGAGGCAGGATACGGGGGCTGGTTTGCGGGTGGGTGTGTATATGGCTGTGGCTGTGGTTGGGTGGGATAGCCGGGGAGGTGCGGGGATCGTGGTCGAGGTGGTAACTGTGCGTTCTGGGGATTTTGTGGAATGGGGATTGGGATTTGGGGGTTGGGATTTCGTGGTAGTGGGGGAGGGCCTGGTAGGGGTGCGAGGAAGGCAGTGTCTGAGCGGTCGAGTGGGGGGTGGGTGTTGCGTGGTAATGGCGTTCTATCTCGATCAACACCGTTGTTCATCTGCGGTGGCGGCGGTCGATGAGAAGACGATCTTTTCGTTCGCGGTACAGGGGGCGTGGGTGGTGCATCTCGTCTGTAAATCTCGACTGTACGTTCGACAAGATTCTTCACATGATCAAATTGCAATGGCCTTTCGATCAAGAACAAAGTCTCGAATCTGGTTCGCCTTCCATCCTTGCGGTCCTTTTGTACCGGTGTGAATCTGAAGCCTGCTTCCCTGATGGCTTCCTTGCATACCCAGCTCGCCAGTATTTCCGTCCAACTGTTTCGTTCCTGGTAGGCGAGGGAGGGCGCGTGGTCAGTGTTGCTGCTGATCTGTTTGGCGTCGATGAATTCCCAGTAGTACTTTCGTGCACACAAGGTCCAAGGTATCTCGAGGTCGACATCGTCATCCTCTTCCTTGGCTTCGACGGCCGCTGCTGCCTCAACGGGGAGGCTATCTACACTGGATGCAGGCGATGATGGTATCGATTTGTCACTTTTCGAGGCGTTGAGAGTATCGCGGGACTCGTTCACGTCCGTGAAGAGCGGCTGTACACTTCCAGATTGTCTACGTCTTGCTCCATCACTGGCAAGTTTCGTGGTTGCATCATCTTCATCTTCACTATCCGATTCCACTGTGGCCTGTTTATCCTGAAGCTTCTGCTTTTGATCCTCACGCTCAGCGGCGCGGACGCGGTCGTCAAACTGAGGCAGGCTGGTCCATCTCTCCAACAGACGCTCGGACTGGGATACTGTGATGCTCGATACTGCTGGCAGCCAACCAGCTTCATTTGAGGATGACATATCAAGACTCGTAATGTATCGATCTTGGTACCGATGTAATTGGGCCGGGCCTGGCGTGTTCTTGCTGCTGCCAGAAACGAGAATCTTTGAATCATTGGTTTCCACCCGGAGCCTGTCGCCTTTTGATGCGCCTTCTTCGAAGATTTTGGCGGCTGTCAGGATCAAAATTTGTTGTTCGATTATCAAGGATTGTAGCTGTATCTTTTCATTTTCTACAGCCTTATTCGCTTGTTGTGGTGAGATTGTTGGACGAAGCCTGTGATAGTGTCAGCGCATCATTCCATAACGTGATTTATTTTGCAGGACTTACTTTGACCACATGATACTCTGGGCCGTGAAAAGAGTCTGAAGCTGCACGGACAAGGTCGCACAGAGGGCTTCGAGATGGGCTGAGAGGTAGCTCAAGTTACTACCAGCAGCCATTGAGCCATGTGGCAAGTAATCACTACCCGTCAATGATCCAGCATGTTTGCGATGTTTTTGCTCGCCATCCACTGCAGCCGTAGCGGACTCGATCGCATTGAGTATTTCTTGGGCTTGGCCAGTCACATCTTCCAAAATCTCAATAGCCTGTTACGACAAGGTCAGTACGAGTATGCCCGATGCATTTGACCAGGATCAGCTCGCTCTGCATGTTGCATATGGAAAAAGCAATTATATCCGAAAAAAGACAAAAAGGAGCTGACATACCTCAGGCGAGGGCAAACGGTCTTCTTCCTTGATCATGGTTCCAATCTGCTTGAGATTGGACGCAAATTGGTTGACGACTTTTGCGACCTTGACCAAATCCCTTGCGGTCTCCTGCTCGCCAGCCGCCACTCGATAGATGTTCAGTGCAAGACTCGAACTTCTTGCCACTACGGGCAAAATAGCTGTGAGTGCCGCCATCATCATCTTTGCATATCAAATACAACCCCCTGGACCCCTTTAAGAAGTGCGAACAAGAAGTAGTGAAAGGGAGTTAAAGTGGGCGAGGACAAGGGAACAAGGCAAAAACGTATCTAAAATCCTTCCATGTCTGTGTATCCTGGCGCCGGTGTGAGGTCATACTATGTGTGTGCACTTATGCAGGACCAGGGCCAATCTTGACCGGGGAGGTTTCCATGCGCAGTTTTCGTGCGATAGCCGATTGGTTGGACGGCACTCGCATGCGAAGAAGCAGTTCGTACCTAGTAGAGTACTTGCAAGCTATACTACTAGGTACTGCAGCTGTGAGTTTGGCGAAAATCATTGATTTGCATGTTCATGCCTGCAATGAGGCTGTGCTGCTTCGTGAGTACACCATATATATATCTATATATGTATTATCAAGCACATGTCCCACAAACCCTCATTGTTTGATTGCCACAATCGTCGCTTCGTTTGAAGCCAAACTGCATGCTACCGCTGGTATTGGTCATCTCCACACTGTGTATGTACTCACCCAAGAGCCTAGGGGCGACGCCAATGGTTGTCGGTGCACATGACGCCGGCTATGCGGCCTACAGGTTGACCACCTGATGACTTCGTGAGGCTCAAGCTGACATGGAGAGCAGCTTCTTTGACATAATCGAAAGTCTGCCTTGGACTCTGAATAGGTCTTTGCGCATCCATGGACAGTCAAGCCTGGATCCGGTGAATGGCCGATGAGGTGTTGCCATCGTAGTAACGCTAGCCTCATTCTGTCCGAAAGAGGGTTGCGGTGAGCGCAAACAAACATCGCATCACTCAATCAAAATGCTGGGGACCTCGCTACAATGTTCGCACTGATAGGCTGAGATGAGACAAGGGGTCGCTAAAGACAGAGTAGGTAAAGACGTGTGGGCGGCGAGCAGCCATGGTAGGCAGGGCCCGTCGAGACTGCAAAGACTTTTTGCATACTATAGTGTATAGGTCTTTGGGCTTGATGCACTGCATATGAACACTACGCAGTATACATTGCAGAGTACTACCGGGTTGTGGGACTCGCAATGTTTCATTGACGAAATCCTTCACCGGCCGGCCCATGCCATCGTGTTCAGTCGCAAATGTCTTGTACACATATTCCTACATGTTTCCTATTTATTTCCGTCCGTCACAATTCATAGAGGAACTTTTGCTGGCCTTGACTTTGTCTCGATATCAAAGTCGCGTGCTGCCTGACCAGGTCCCAGTCAATCCTGTCCCACCATGCCTCGAGGAAGGCCCTCTTTCCCTTGACGCCGTAGTCCGGCAGCCACGCATGTTCCCATGTGTTGACACACATCAGTGGCACCACATCCACACCACCCAGCGGCTTCTTGGGCCCCAGCGGCTGCTGCTGTGCTGCCCTGCCAAACGAGCCCACCTTGTTCAGCTCTTCGTAGGATTCGGCGTTGTGCGTGTTCAGGTCGTGCGACTGGCGTCTGTAGTGCGCGCCCGATAACGGTGATCCGGCGAGGTAGGTGGGCACGATGCGCAGGCTGCCGAATTGTGTGTCGTTGGTCTGCACTAGCCAGACGAAACCGGGGCCGAACATGGCCTCGGCGGTTGCGAGAAAGGTCTCACGCAGCGTGTCTCTCGATGAGAAGTCCTTGTTGATTTGCCTCTCGAGGTCTTCAGATGGCTGCGACTGCACGCCTGGGTTGGTGTTGATGCCGCGGAAGAAGAAGTGGTTGTTGAAGGCCATGCTGGCGACGTTGAACGCATACGCTTTCGTGGGGTCTCGGGCGAATTCTATGACAAGGGATTTGGGGTCTTGGTTCTCGAATGCTGTGCCTGTGACAAGTGAAGAGAAGTGAACAGCCAGTCAGTCTCGATGTACAGCCTTGTCTCAATTGGTGTTGGAAGGCGTACCCGCTGTTGACTCGTTGAGTTCGTCAATCATGTGTTGTTGGTAGTCCGTGTAGGCCGTGTTGAAGCCATTGGGGGAGAGCAGGCCTGGGATTCCATTCTGCTGAAGGTCGACATGGTTGTTCAGTGTCGGGACCGAGTATATGTTGCGGGTGAAGGACGGTGTTGGTGTTCTCTACCAGCCAGCGTCAGTCCCAGTATCATCATCATCATCATTATCATCATCGTCACCACCACTAACAACCCCATATCAACAACAACGACAACAACAACAACATACCCTCGAAACACCTGCCACCAGCGACTGTAGGGCATTCGGCCGCCGAGCCAAACAGCGCAATATCGCCATGTGTGCTGCTTGATTGGGGGAAAGCGTCGGGATGGTGCGCGCAGGTCGTCGGCAACATCCTCTCTTCCTCATCTTTTTCCCAAATGCGCTCCGAGGATCGCGCTAACTAGAGAGGGACAAGGCCGGCCGGGCTGTCCAATCACAACGCGCCTGTCCCAAGCCTGTCCAACCTAGACCAGACAACCAGACATTGCAAGCGCCCTGCATTCCCCGTTTCACATCCACCCGACCTTCTCTCGCCAGCCCATAGAGAGCCATACAATCGACTCAGTCACCTGCTCCCTGTTACTCGCCCAGTGCAAGCTCACACTTTCTGTCCAACACCGCATATCCAGTCGGCCGCCCTCACTGCGCTATTTGCAGAACAAATGGGTCCGCCAGATGGGGGGGTGGCTGTGGAGACAGCGCGTCGCATCCAGCCCTACCCATACTCCCCGATCATGGACCTCACTTGCGGCTCTCGGATGCCAGTCCATCAATGTCTAAATTTGTAGCTGGACATACCCGCGGTCGCAGCAGCGGTGCACGTTGTTCTACTTCCTTCAACCTGTTTATTGTTTCGCTGTCTCCATTTTCGTTTCTTCACCCTTCCTCCGTTTCTACTCAGTACTACCTACCTAATCATTCTTCTTTCACTCATCTCGAGGTCTGCTGGTCTGACCTTTTTGAATCGAAACAATATCTGTCAAAATTCATTTCTTTTGCCCCATAACAACTGCACAACATTTTCTCGGTGTGATGTACTCCATGATAATTCCTGGCCTGACATAGC